TTCTCACTCATAGGTGGGTATTGAACAATGAGAACACATGGACACAGGGAGGGGAGCACTACACACTGGGGTCAGTTGGGGAGAAATAGGGGAGGGACGGTGGGGGGTGGGGAGCTGGGGAGAGATAGCAAAGGGAGAGATGCCAGATGTAGGTGATGGAGAGGAAGGCAGCAAATCACACTGCCACGTGTGTACCTATGCAACAATCCTGATGTTCTTCACATGTACCCCAAAACCTAAAATGCAATAAAATAAATGGAAAAAAAATAAAAACAAAATAACAATAAAAATCATTCCTTTTGTACTTTGGCTTTCTCAGGGGTGGGCTGGGCACCTGTCCACAATGCCGGGCTCACTGCAGGGGACATGTGTCAAGCTCCCTGTTTGGTCTCATGGAAGCTCCCTCCCACATTTCCGCCTTGGGTTGATGGAAGGGACTCATAGTTCCTTCTCCTCAAATAAATCCCCTTCAAAAATCCTTCCCAGTCTCTGCTCTCACGATGTTTCCATGCTGCTGACCTGGGAGCGGTACCCGAAATCATGTCACTGGTAGCTGGATATTCCCCTGGAGAATGCGTGTGCAGATCGTGTCTCCTGCCCTCTGCCGGTGGCCTGGCACCTCAGCCTACACGTCCAATGCTTAGTGCTGAAGTGTTAATACAGCCATCCTATCCCTTCCTTCACACCATTCTCGACACTGAAATAATGACTTCTTGCTGACAACAGCAGCATCTCCAAGTGACCTCCCAAAAATGACCCAGGTCCCCTGTCCTGGAATGAGCTGAATTATGTGCTCAGATTCACAGACATTTCACTAACAAGAAAACAACGGCACAGCCTTGGACAAGGAGTGCTGCTCAGAGGCAGAGAAACAGGAAGCACAGGGAATGCACACCACTCCACCGGGAGCCCAGAATGGAAGCCCGCTACTGACCCAGGGACGGGAGCCTCTCAGCTACAAGACCCATGTGTGGGGCTGGGAGCACTGATCTCCTTCCGGACAAAGAGTGAGGAAGGACACAGCTGAGGCTCCCGTCCTGGGGGGTTCTTTGCGGGGTGGAGCAGCACGGGGGCAGAGGCGGTGGGCAGAGGCTGGCACCAGGACAGTGTTCCCTCCTGAGGCTTTACTCACAAGACTCAACTGACCATCAAAATCCAGGAACAGTGTCCTGGGGAGGCCAGGCCATGCGGGAAGAAAGCTCGCTAACCCATGCCACACCAGGCACCCTCGCTGACAGCAGACGAGCCCTCTGATGTGGGAGACTGGGTCAATTTACAGATTGATTTGTAAGATGTATGGGTGCTTCAGTAGTGATCTACTCTCACCCGCCTTGAAAGCCCCCTTGGCTGAAGATGGATTCGGACATCGCCAGTCCAGCCACGGCATGCACACATCTCTGCTGAGCAGTTTTTACAGGGCTCAGCCCCTGCTTAGGGCGGACACTTACCCCCATGTGTTCTGTGAAGGGCACTGCTTTACCGCGCTTCATCCTTCCCTTGGCCTGGGTTCAAGGTCAGCAGGCCCTGCTCCCTACTAGCTGGAGGGCCTGGATGCCTGGGGAGCCTGCCTCATCTCCCCGGGTCTCAGTTTACTCACCTGAAAATGAGAGCAACAGCGCCCACCGTGGAGAGAGCCAGGCACAGTGGCAGCACGTGGCGTCAGGTCCTTTGTAAGCTCCTGGTCACCACCATGATGGGAACTGCTGGCCTGCAAAGGTGGAGGGGAAGCCCAGGATGGAGGCCCGGCGTGTTACCTGATCTCAGTCACGTCTGACTTGTCCAGCTTCTGCAGCTCCAACTTGGCGGCCTCCAAGATGGGCATGACCTCCTCCAGGGTCGTCTCGGCCTCGGCCTTCTCCACGGCAATGACCTTGTTCTGCTCCTCTATCTCCATGGCCTTTTCCTCCGCCAGCTTCTTCTTCTCCTCAGCTGCAGGGCGGGCAGGGGGTGGGTAAAACTTGGGCTCAGAGGAGAGGCACTGGCGGCCACCGGCTCTGGGCAGGGTGCAGTCCTCAAAGGTTGGTTTGAGCCCTAGGGGAGCTCTAAGGGGCTCTGGCCCATGTGGCAGCCTTAGTGATCCTAGTGGGACAGCAAACCTCACCACGCATGGGGCCTCCGGCACCGGGCAGCCACCCTTACCATGTAGGGGCCTCCAGCGCCGGGCAGCCACCCTGACTCTGACCTTCCTCAACTGGCCCACCAGTGGCCCACCCACTCCATCCAGGACAAATGCAGTGGCTCCTGATGGCCCCAACCTTGCCTCGCCCGTGTTCACTGAGGTCGCCAGGGGCCCCCTTCCTGCTGACCAGCTCCCTGCCATCTCCCCCCACTGCCTCTCATCGCCTCTTCCTACACACCCTCAGGCCCAGCCAGAGCCGGCCTCGATGGACCTGCCCTCTGTCGCCCTCTCTCCCCCTGCCCTGCTGATTCGCTTCATGACGCTGATCGCCATCAGAGGTTTCATCTCACGATTGGCTGATTCCCTGCCCGGGTGCCCTCACTCACTGGGATGTCAGCACATCCCCAATGGACAGTACCCCAAAACCTGTAGCAGGGCTTGGCTCAAGGTGGTTTGAACAGTGTGCCCCCCACCAAAATTCGTGCCCACTGGGACATGAGGATGTGATCTGATTTGGAAATGGAGTCTTTGTAGATGGAATTAGTTAAGATTAGGCAACACAGGGTGAGGGGCCCTAAATCCAGTGCCTGGGATTCCTCTCAGAGGGTCACGTGGAGACACACAGGAAGAAGGGCATGTAGCGATGGACACAGACGCTGAGCGGTGCATTTACAGCTAAGCTAAGGAATGCCAAGGTTTGCCAGCAACCTCTGGAAGCTGGAAGAGGCAGGAAAGAGTCCCCTAGAGCCTCGAGAGGGAGCATGGTCCTGGCACCTTGATGTCAGACTCCGCCTCCAGAACTGCCAGAGAACACATTTCTGTTGTTTTCAGCCCCCAGGTCGTCGTGCTTTGTTACAGCAGCCCCAGGAGGCGAATGCAGCAGGCCTTCTGCCAACAGATGCTGGCTGCAGAGGCTCTGCCTCCCCCAGGCTACGGTCTCTTGGAATCCATCTCCACAGCTAACAAGCCAGTGCTGGGCGAGTGTCTGCAGCGTGCAAAGCCGTGCACAGGACCTGACACTGTGAAGGGTCCCCAGCCCAGGCACTGCTTCTCCCTGGGGCAGCAGGGGGACGAATGCATCAGAAAAGGGTAGCAAGGGCCAAGAGCAGTGGCTCACACCTGTAATCCCAGGACTTTGGGAGGCTGAGGCAGGCAGATCACCTGAGGTCAGGAGTTCAAGACCAGCCTGACCAACATGGCTAAACCCCGTCTCTACTAAAAATACAAAATTAGCAGGGTATGGTGGCACATGCCTGTAATCCCAGCTACCTGGGAGGCTGAGGCAGGAGAATCATTTGAGCCCGGGGGATGGAGGTTGCAGTGAGCTGAGATTGTGCCATTGCACTCCAGCCTGGGCAACAAGAGCAAAACTACGATTCAAAAAAAAAAAAAAAAAGGGAAAGAAAAGGGTAGCAAGATCATGAGTTGAAACCTTCAGAACAGAAAAGCAGAAAGGGAGCTGTGTAAGCTGTGAGCATGCCGAGCGGGCCGGGCCAGCGGGAACGGAGCACAGAGTGGCAGAACCACCAGAGCTGGCCAGGAAGGAAGAGGGCTGGAACAGGCCTTGGGAAGCTCAGCGTGGGGAGCACTGCAAAGGGGGCCGGCCAAGCCAGGTGCTTGAGTCGTGCTGAGGGGCAAAACAGTGGGCTCTTTCAGCCAGGCAGAAGCATGGCTAGAGGCTGGGGCAGCCACTGAAGAGCCACCCTCAGGAGGGGACTGTCTGCGCCCCACCCTCCCCGCTGCAGGACTTGTCAGCGTATCCCATTCCTATGGCCACCAGGATTGTTTCGGACACGGGCATGTAACCCAAACCTGTCCAATCACATCCAATTCTGGGAGCTTCATGGGAATGCATGTGAAAGAAGAGCCCTCTCTCCCCTTGGGATCCTGAGTTAGTAGGATGCCAGCCTCATGCTGGAGGCCCCCAAGCTCTCAGCACGGACAGAGCCTTCTGCCTGAGATGAAGCCCAAACCGAAGACAGCAGAGCCAAGAAAAGGACGGAAAGATTCCCACTGATACACTTGAGTCCTAGATCCCGCTGTGCCTGAAGCCAGCATGCCTCCCGAATCAATGCATTTCCACTTTAGATTAAGCCACTTTGAGCTCAGCTTCCACCATTTGCAACCAAAATAGTCCTGATCAGGACGGGCATCCTGAAACAGAGATCCTAGATGAAGCTTCCTCCAAAATTCCAAGTGGGAGCAAGGTGACCCTGGTCAAGGTTGATGGCAATGGGGAGGCAACCCCAGGTGGGAGTGGCACCAATCACGGGCGTGGCAGCAGCTCGTCCTCAGTACAAACAGCACCTGGGCCCTGGGGAGGCGCTCTCTGGCTGTGAGCTTCTTCCAGGCGGGGGTTGCGTCTCATTCATTTCCTAGCCCCGACTCTCCCTACCCTGGTCCCAGCCATGAAGCTGAAGTCAGTATCTGCTGACTGGACAGGTGATACCTGGAATAACAGCTTCCTTCAAGACACTTCCAATCTAGTTTTACATCTAGGGGGTGCAAACCCAGCAAGGGTCTCTGCCCATTAAACCCACATGGGGATCCCCTGGGAATACAGAGTGTTTTTCACTTTTGAGACAGGGTCTCCCTCTGTCACCCAGGCTGACGTGCAGTGGTGCAATCACAGCTCACTGCAGTCTCGGCCTCTCAAGTAGCTGGGACTACTGGCACATGCCACCACACTGGCTAATTTTTTTTTTAATAGAGTCTCACTATGGTGCCCAGGCTAGTCTTGAACTCTTAGGCTCCAGTAATCCTCCAGCCTCGACCTCCCAAAGTGCTGGGATTATAGGCGTGGGCCACTGTGCCTGGCCAGGAATATATAGTTTTTAAAAGGCAGATCAAAGCAAAGTGTAGCTATGTGGGAATGAGGCATTTGATCAAAGTTCTGGAAGAAGAAACACGGATGGGAAGAGAGAAGTGGTATGGATATTCTTAGCAGAGCAAAGGGAGAGAAAGAACACGTTACTGCCGGAGTCACGCAGGCACGAAGAAGGGATGCTGTGCGCAGGCGGCAGGTGTCATGAGAAATTGGGTAGGCAAGATGACAAGGAGGGACTGATGGGACCCTTCATGGCCACACTGAGGCCTCAGCATCAAAACAGGCAGCAGGGAGTTGCCACAAACTCCTGGGAAAGGATCTCGATGGATTAAGTTGCTTTGGTTGCAAGCAACAGAAGCTAACGATGGTCGAGTTAAGAACGATGTGTAATTGCTGTAAGAAGATATGGTAGCTCACAGACATGGAAGATGCTGAAACACATCAACTGGGGGCGCCTCAGGGATCTGGGCTCGGGCACCGAATGTAGTCTCTTCACAGTGCTGCCATGCAGTAAATGAACATACATTATCTTCAGTCTCTATGCTGGCTGATTCAAAATGTGCAGTCCCAGAGAACACCTAACTGGTCCACCAGGGTTGGAATAAGCCCATCCTGATGGCAGGCACTGGGAGTCGGGAGAGGCAGTTTGCCAACACCAAGTTAGGGTGCCGTTACCAGAGTGATGACAAATTGATCCTGTGCACAGGGCCGGGTGCAATGACCCAGGAACTGAACCGAGATGACACTTAGCAGCAACACTAACACAGACCAGCAGGAGAAGGAAGGGCCAGGCAGGTTGACGGCCATCTGCAGGAATCTGGGAATGGGCTGGGGAGGGCACACATCAGAAGCCCGGAGCCCAAAGATCTAGAGAGGAGGGTTAGAGGCCAGGCACAGAGGTGTGGGCTCCAGGAGCTGTCCTGAGAGGCATCATGAGGAGGTAGAGTGTTCAAGAGCAGGACAGCACAGGTGGCTCGGCCAGGAAGACCAAGGGAAGGGGCCCAAGGAAGAACCTTGAAACAGCTTCAAGGAGAGCCAAGAAAGTCCTGCGTGGATGATGCCAAGGCTTAGGTCATTTTAATCCCATGGACTTAGGTCACCAGCCCACTGAGGGTGGAGTGACTTTTCCACTCCCGGGCACATCCTCAGGCTAAGAGCACAGGGGCCTACGTATGGCCGCATCTCAGTGCTTATCAAAGGGGATAAGGCCAGGCATGGTGGCTCATGCCTGTAATCCCAGCATTTTGGGAGGCTGAGGCAAGTGGATAAAAAGGTCAGGAGTTTGAGACCAGCCTGACCAACATGGTGAAATCCTGTCTCTACTGAAATTTTTACAAAAATTAGCCAGGTGTGGTGGTGCGTGCTTGTAATCCCAGCTACTCAGGAGGCTGAGGCAGGAGAATCACTTGAACCCAGAAGGTGGAGGTTGCAGTGAGCCAAGATTGCATCACTGTACTCCAGCTTAGGTGAAACAGTGAGACTCCATCTCGGGGAAAAAATAAAAAAAAAGAAAAGGAAAAGAAAAAAGAAAGGGGACAAGACTGGCTGAACATGAATTCCGAAAGAAACAGGAATCGCAGGGTCAAAGACGGCATGCTCGGTGCCTACAAGCAGTTTCACAGGGACGCCCTGGCAGAGCTCTGCCCTGCTCGGAGATGGGCTGCCCCAGCCCCCGCCCTCACTCACCCATGGCAGTGTTGGGGATGTGGAGATGGGCTGCCCCGGCCCCCGCCCTCACTCACCCATGGCAGTGTTGGGGATGTGGAGATGGGCTGCCCCGGCCCCAGCCCTTACCCACCTACAGCGGTGTTGATGGCGATCTCCTCCAGCAAGGCCTCGCAGGCGACGGACTTCTCAGCCAGCACGATCTTCTGCTCTGCCAGCTTCTGGTTCAGCTCGTCCAGCTGGATGGTGGCTTCCTTCAGCTTGTCCAGCCCCCCCTCCAGACGCTTGCACTGAGCTGAGGAAAGAGGGTACCCACGTTCATCGTCAAGGTGGCCACCGTTCCCAACACACCCAGGGGTCTCACTGGGATTCGCTTAACTTCAGCTTAACAAAAACAAAAGAAAACATTTTTACAAGATGGCATGCATCTTTCGGTGCCCCCACTGCCACGTTGGGACAGCATCAGCCAAAATGAATGTATTTCTGAAAACAGTGCTTCCCTTGGCCAGTAGCCAGAGCACTCTTTAAAAAGCCCTGTCCAGCAAAGCATGCAGGAAACACTGTCTCTAATGTGGGCCAGCCATGGTGGCTGCGCTTGTGGTCCCAAGTTACACAGGAGGCTGAGGTGGGAGGAGCATGTGAGCCCAGGAAGTCAAGGCTGCAGTGAGCCACAACTGCACCACTGCACTCCACCCTGGGAAACAGAGACCCTATCTCTAGGATAAGAAATAAAACTAAAAAAATTGCTAATGTGGTGAAAATGCAAAGCTTCAAAGTATATGACTCAACACTGAGGACAAAAATAAGGACATGCCAGCCAGGCGTGGTGGCTCACACCCGTAATCCCAACACTTTGGGAGGCTGAGGCAGGTGGATCGCCTGAGGTCAGGAGGTTGAGACCAGCCTGGCTAACATGGTGAAACCCCATTTCTACTGAAAATACAAAAAAATTAGCCAGGCATGATAGCGTAAACCTGTAATCCCAGCTACTCAGGAGGCTGAGAAAGGAGAATCGCTTGAACCCGGGAGGTTGCAGTGAGCCGAGATCGTGCCATTGCACTCCAGCTCCGGCAACAAGAGTGAAACTCCATGTTAAAAATAAATAAATAAATAAAAAATAAGGATACGCCAGGGTCCTACCTACATGGAAGCATTGCTCCAAGATGCAAAATCCAAGATGTGCTTTGCTTGGCCTCAATACTGAAAATGCCCAATCTTACTAAAAGAAAGATCAGCGCTCGAATCCTTACCCATAAATAATAATGATTTCTGCCAACTACGCGGTCCCCAAGTCTTACCTATGTTATACTGAGTTTTCTCATCCAGCAGTTTTGAATAGGTGTTAATAAAATCCAGGTAGTTCTTGGGAGTGACGTAGTTGCTGCGCCTCAACTTCTGCAGAAACAGTTGGCTGTAGTGCCCCACGGACTGGTGGACCAACACAACATGCTTCACCACATTCTCTATGTTTTCTGCTGGGATCATTGGATTATACCCTGAAAAAGACGGAATAAAAAATATGGTGGTTTTTTTTTTTTTTTTTCTGACACAGGGTCTCGCTCTGTTGCCCAGGAAGGAGTGTGGTGGCATGATCATGGCTCACTGCAGCCTCCATCTACCGGGCACAGGTGATCCTCCCACCTCAGCCTCCCAAGTAGCTGGGACTACAGGCGTGGGCCACCATGCCCGGCTAATTTTTTCTATTATTTTGTAGGAACGAGGTTTCACCCATGTTGCCCAGGCTGGTCTCAACTCCTGAGCTAAAGCAATCGGTCCACCTCAGCCCCACAAAGTGCTGGGACTGGAGGCGTGAGTCACTGCACCCGGCCATGCTTCTTAAGAAAGGAAATCAGGGATTCTTCAAAAAGTTAAATATAGAGCTACTATGTGAATCAACAATTCCACTCCTAGGTATATGCCCACAAGAACTAAAAAACAGGGACTCTAAAATAAATTCTTGTACACCAATGTTCACAGCAGACTATCACAATAACCAAAAGGTGGAAATGACCCAAGCATCTATCAACAGAGGAACAGATGAACAAAATGTATCCTGTCTGTATCAGGGATATTATTCACCCATAAAAAGGAATGAAGTTGCGACGCATGCTAAAACATTGATGAGTCTCAAAAACGTTATGCTAAGTGAAAGAAGCCAGTCACCAAAGGACAAATATTACATGCTTCTACTTATGCAAAACCTCTCTGGAATAGGCAAATTCATGCAGACAGAAAGTAGATCAGAGGTCGAGAGAGGGGTGGTGGGGAGTTAGTGTTTAATGGGTATGGAGTTTCATTCGGGGTGATGAAAAAGTTTTGGAGATAGATAGTGGTGTTGGTTTCACAATATTATGAATGCAATTAGTGGCACATGTACATTTCAAAATGCTTTAAATGGAAAATGTTACGTTACGTGTATTTTACTATAATAAAAAATGATGTTAAAGTTTTTAATAGAACAAGAAAAGAACAGCTATCACTTATTGGTGGCTTTTCAGGACCACAGCAGTGATTTGTGACCCTGAAACGTGGGGTATGGGTGGGCTCATTCAGTTACCCACTGCTGGACAGCACCCAGCACATACCAGCAAAGGCGGGCCTTCCTATACACCTGCTGAAAGAATGAATGATGGCTTCCAGTGTCAAGATCACATGGCCTGGATTACCTAACAGATTGTTAAATGCATTCAGCTCAAAGTAGAGAATGTCTCATGTTAAAATGAAGGAAGGAAAGACAGATTGAAAGAATTGATTCATCCAGATTCTGCAGAGCTGGTCCTGAGTTATACAGGGGTTAGCAAACACAGCCCCAGGGCCTGTTTTGCAGTGTGCAGGAAACAGTGTGCCTCACAAATATCTGTGCCTTTGGACACAGTCACCTCAATTCCAGGGAATATATTCTGTGTGTGTGTGTGTGTGTGTGTGTGTGTGTGTGTGTGTGTGTGCGTGTGAGAGAGAGAGAGAGAGAGGGAAAGAGAGAGAGAGAGGTCTCATTCTGTTGCCCAGGCTGGAGTACAGTGGCACAAACATGGCTCACTGCAACCTCTGCCTCCTGGGCTCAAGCAATTCTTATGGCTTAGCCTCCTGAGTAGCTGGGATTACAGGTACCCACCACCATGCCTGGCTAATTTTTATATTTTTAGTAAATAAGGGGCTTCACCATTTTGCCCAGGCTGGTCTTGAACTCTTGGGCTCAAATAATCTACCTGCCTCCGCCTCCCAAAGTGCTGGGGCCAAAGGTGTGAGCCACTTCGCCTAGCCTCCAGTAACTACATTCTAAGGAAAAAAAGTTCCAAGCAAATTCGAGGCAGCATTATTTATGACGCTGAAACACTGAATACTGAAACCAAACACAAGCATTTCACGCATGGAAACAGCAAATACACCTCTAAGAACAACGCTACATCTATATCAGGGCTGGCCAACTACAGGCCAAAGGACAAATCCAGCCTGCCCCCTGCTTTTGTAAATAAAGTTTTATTGAAACACAGCCATAGTCATTCACTTACATGTTGTCTATGACTGCTTTCATGATAAAATGGCAGTATTGAGTAGTTGCAAAAAGGCTGTAAATATTTACCATATGGACCTGAGATATATCATCAGAAAAGAGTCATTCTCTTGGCCCCTTTCCCCAAAAAACTGCATTATGATTAAAGTTATGATCTCTTCTTATATATAGGAACATTGATTGATTGATTGATTAAGTACAGATTTATAAGTTGAAACTATTTTCAAGGTTACCCAGTGTCATTCATCATAAATCTGCTCAAGTTAGGTCCAAAGAAAAAGATGTTCCCTAAAGACAGACTTCCTTTCTTATTCAAAGATTAAAATTAATATCCAAGGCCTCAGGTGTCTGAAACACTAGAAATTCAGGGCAAATGTAGAATGTTTACCGAACTGTCCATGAAGCATTCTTTGGGTAGAAGCCAGCACACATTTTCTACAAACAGGCAAATAGTGATCATATGGTCTCTGTTGCAGTTACTCAGCTTTGCAGTTGCAGCATAAAAGCAGCCAGAGACAATATGTTAATTAATGAGTGAGTCTGTGCTGTGTACCAATAAAACTTTATTTACTAAAGCAAGTAAGGGGCCAACTAGACAGCAGGCCATGGTTTTGCCAACTGCTGCTGTGGAGGACACCTACAAATTGAAAGCCATTTGTTACCATAGAGGTTTCTAGTGAAGAAATCTACAAGACCAGAATTCAAAGTCAGAAAAGTGATAATATTGTAAATTGCTTTGTTGTATCAATAATGTAGTTCCCATAACAGCTGTGACTTACCTAGAAATGACTTCGCGACAGCATGGAGGGCTTGGGGAGGCCAGGGCATGAACCAGTCAATACCAGTGTTATTTACCATACCTTGAAAAGAAAGAGAAATTACAAAGATGCTCCCAGCCTAGGCAACGTGGCGAGACCCCGTCTCTACAAAAAATACAAAAATCAGGACCGGGTGTATGGCTCACGCCTGTAATCCCAGCACTTTTGGAGGCCAAGGCAGGTGGATCATTTGTGGTCAAGAGTTCAAGACCAGCCTGGCCAACATGGCAAAACTCCATCTCTACTAAAAATACAAAAATTAGCCAGGCAGTAGTGGTGTGCACTTGTAATCCCAGCTACTTAGGAGGCTTAGGCAGGAGAATCTCTTGAACCCGGGAGGTGGAGGTTGCAGCGAGCTGAGATCGCACCACTACACTCCAGTCTGGGCAAGAGAGTGAGACCCTGTCTCACCAAAAAAAAAAAAATCTACAAAAATCAGCCAGGCAGCATGGTGGTGTGCACCTGTAGTCCCAGTGACTAGGGAGGCTGAGGTGAGAGGCTCGCTTGAGCCCAGCAGCTCGAGGCTGCAGTGAGCTGGGATGGTGCTGTTGCATCCTAACCTAGGTGACAGAGTGAGACTCTGTCAGAAAAAAAAAAAAAAAGATGTTCACTCTGCAACCCTGAGATACTCAAGAACATGGATGCTGTCTTCAATAGCCAACAAGTTGGTGAATGAGCGAGACGTGTCCAAATCCAGTTCATGAAAAGCATTTTCTCACCCTTGGCGCTACTGACACGTGGGATCTAACCCTTTGTGGCAGGGGCTGGCTGCGCACTGTAGGGTGCTTCGTGGCTTCTACTCACCAGATGCCAGGACTACACCACATGCTCCCCTGAGGCGTGATGACCAAAAATGTCTCCAGGCATTGCCAAGTGTCCCCTGGGGACCAACCTCCCCTGCCCTTGCCCCACCTGTTAGGAACCTCTGCTCTAAAGGCAGGCACGAGGCTGGTGGAGTTTTCCGAAGTGGAAGCAGGAAGCCACCCTCCATGCACTGCAGGCCTCGTGTGCAGGAGCGTGGGTGCACCCTTGCCTTAGAAGGACATCACCTATGCCTGCCGGCACCTGTCAGGGGCAGCAAGGCTCACACTACAGTGCAGAGCCCACATTTCCACCTAATGGCCATGTCTCGTTTTGCTTTGCTGGGGGTACCTTGAGAGGTGCGGACAGACCCCCAGCCATACACCCTGCCAATGCAGGGGAAACAGGTTCGCAGGCTCCACCGTGGGTACCTGGAAAGTTTCTGCACCGGGTCCTCAGGGTGTCCCCGACCGGCGACATGCCAAGGACGATGTGCAGGTTGTTTGCACTTTTGTTCACGAAGTACTGCCACACAGACTCCTTGGCCGGGCCCATGCCTTGCTTCAGAGCTTCCTGTCCAATCTGACTGAGGATAGACTCCTTCTCCTCTTCAGGGAAAAGCGCAGGTACGATTCCTAGAAAACGAAGACATGCTGGTGACCTCTGAGTCCCAGGGTCATGACCTCTCTCATGCTGACTAAAGTGGCGGAAGGCATGGAAATAGCAGCAGGTGACGAGTCCAGAGAGCCTCCAGCTCCTATCTGTCAAATGGGGATCCTAGATGCCACCAACTTGCTCGAGGATGAGTGTGAGCATCACAGGTGAGCACACTGAGCATGAAGAAGCCTCACTTACCCGTAACTCAGAAGCAGGGATTCTCAGCGGGGCTGATTTACCCCCTAGGAAATTCTGGGCAATGTCTGGAGCTGTTGCTCGTTGTTGCAACTTGGCAGGGAGATTGCTACTGGCATCTAATAGGTCAAGGCCAGGGATGCTGCCGCACGCCCCACAGTGCCCAGGACGGCCCCGCCACAACAAAGAACAGCCCAGACCCAGATGCCAACAGCATGCGGCCGAAACCCACGGCTGTGTGGACAGCTTTTTTCCTATATCTATGCCATTTCAAATTACCAATACATTTGGATGCAGTCTCCGACGTTCTCCTGTGCAGGGAAGCGTTAACGCGGCAGGCCACGGCTGCTCACCTCTGAAAGGACCCGGGGCTGGTGCCTGGGAACTAGGTCCCTGAAGGGATTCACTGATAAGAGTGGCCCAGCATGGGATACAGTGTGGATCTGTGTCCCCACCAAACCTCACGTGGAACTCTCACCCCCAGTGTTGGAGACGGGGCCTGGCGGGATCACGGGGACAGGTTTCTCTCGAATGGTTTAGCGTCATCCCCCTGGTGCTGCTCTTGTGAGAAGGAGGGAGTTCTCATGAGATCTGGTTGTGGAAAAGCGTGTGGCACCTCCCCCAACCTTGCCGCCACGCTGGCCAGGGCATGTGCCTGCTCCTGCATCACCTTCTGCCTTGACTGTAAGTTTCTGGAGGCCTCCCCAGAAATCAGCACCATGCTTCCTGTACAGCCTGTGGATCCGTTATCCACATAAAGTTCTTTTTTCTTTTTCTTTTTCTTTTTTTTTTTTTTTTTTTTTTTTT